AGTGGATCTGTTAACAGGACGCCCACCTTATGAAGAGTTGCCTGAAAATGTGTCAGAGTTCGTGAAAGTGTTATCGGAAAGGATGGAAGATATACACCATCAAGTGCGTTCAAACTTGAAAATTTCTGCTGATTCCATAAAGCTATGTTATGATAAGAGATCTACTGAAGTCAGCTTTGTACCAGGAGTCAAGATGTGGTTGTATAATCCCAGGAAGACCAAAGGGAAGTCTTCTCCATGGAAAGGTCTTCTCAAAACCGGGTAGAGTTTCTTCTTCGACAGTGGCTTTTTCAGGTGACATTTCTTCAGCAGCGTCATTTGTTACGTTGGTCGCTTCGTTCCAACTGAAATGTCCTGGACAATGATAACGCCAAAGCCTGTTGGCATGCACCACCTTTGGCTTACCTCGCCGACCACATTTTATTCGGAAAGTCACGTCTGAGAGACGATCCACTATGTAATATGGGGGGAAACAGTGAAGCCCTTGATGAAGTTACTACCACTGATGTGACTGTACCGATAATAGGACATTTCCTGATGGAGCAGATGAACCCCACGTGAAGCAGAAGCCAACGAGACGGAGACCAGTACGGAAGAAGATACATTAAGACTTTGTTGAATTTTAAATTTGTGTTTGTAAATTCTGTACATTTAATTAACTTATTGTTAATTATCTAGTCTGTTTCATTTAAGTGGCTATTGTTCGGGACGAACAATACTAAGAAAGGGGCAGTGTTACGACAGCGGAAGTCACGTGACACTGGTAACACTTCATGAGATTCTCGAAGGATCTTGACTTTTCTTGGCAACTCTAATCTGCTCTAGGCGCCCTCTTTTCTTGTATATAAGCCCGGCAAATAAAGCGAATATATAATTGCAGATAGACAGATTGAAGATAGAGATAATCGAGTCAAGCCGTAAGTAAAGTGTGTGTGAATCCCTGTGAATTATAGCGTGTGTTTATAAAAGTTTAAAGTGACTGTGGAAATTAAATATATTACAAAGTTTGTAACCAGAAAGAATAAACTAGTTTTAATTAAGAAAGGACTTGTATCGCAGAAGTTTCTCGGAAAGAATATCTACGGGAAATTAACAAACAAGCAGATACGTAACACTATATTACGTTCACCAACGTATACTGCCCAAATCACTGTGCCATATATACGTCAGTAGAAAACCCATGCTATCTTTTTTAAAGCTAGTGTAAATATATATGATAGTAAAGGCCAATTAAGACGGACAAATATAGATATAAAATATGGAGTCTATTCACCTTCTCACAAGAAAGCATTAACTTCACTATAGTATCAACCACGAGTGTTGCCGCAATGTTTCGTATGTCAAACGAAGCAAACCCATGTTATTTACCTGTATTAGCAGTGGCCGTCAAATTTTAAAAAAAAAGTATCGTATCTATTCATTTTTAGGGTTAAAAGCATATTAATATGAATCACGTATGTTTTCGTGTGTCATTTAGACAGAAATTTTATTTTGTTGTCTGGTTTTTATTAAGGGTTAAAAATTACGTTCTTTATTCACAATTTAACACCGTATTTAGAAAATATAAATTACTCGAATAGTGGGTGTCTGTCGTACTCAAATATTGGGATTTTCTTATTAGATACAATATATTATATAAATGCATTTTATTCGTCCATTTTACTCTTCAGCGATTAAACACTTAATTGATGTAACACTAATTAATCATTTTCGGGAATTTTTTTCTGCATCAAAGGAAGACTGAGACCATTCGTTCTTCTAAGAACTGTCTTTTAGAAGACTTGCTTTACACCATATCATTAAGTACGGTATGTATGGATGGGCCTGGAACAAATGGCCAACGCATGTTATCTATTGTTCGTCATAGCCTCAAATCTCTCTTATAACAACCTAAGAGACTTTTATAAACACCTAACTTAGGTTTTCAAAAGCTATTATGGCCTTCAGTTTAACCAAGAAATATCGCTAAACTAGAGAACCGGCGAGTAGCGTAACAACCAAACGTTCTGCAGATTATTCTGATTCTGGAGTCAGAAGGGTTAGTTCACCAATGCTTGAAGATGTTCTGATGATTTACACACCAAAATGTTGCATTTTAGCTTGGGAAGTGCAGAAGCAATGTAGCGTTTCACTAACTTCAACACATGATGTCCATAAAGACAACTCAACACACCAGGCTAAAACTGCTGCCTTCATAGCGACTGCTATTCATTAATATTGTTTAAAAAAGAAAAAAAGGGGAAACACGTAATATAAACAATTTAAAAAAAATAAGGATGATGTAGAGATGGAAATACCAAAAAGTACAGAAACAAGGTAGGGATGAAAACACAAAACCTTTCAAAAATCCCCACATAAGTAGCCACCGAGTCAATGTTACAAGCTTATGAGAATTAGCCATTGTAAGACTTTATAGTATTATTTAGTTTAAATGCTTTTATTAAAACCTGAATTTGTGTAAGTTAAAAGAATTCAACATTTAGTTGTAGATAGAAGTTTTTCTTGGAAATATTTGACTAGGTCCGACATGGCCAGGTGGTTAGTGAGCTCGACTCGCAATCTGCGGGTTCGAAGCCCCGTCCCACCAAACATGCCCCATATTCAAGTAAGAAATAGAGAATATCAGCAGTTCTTTCTATATTTGTGTTTTGTAATTATTTTCGGAACACTCTTAAATGTTTCAGCCGAAGTAATAAAAAAGGTTGATTTAGAGATGGCAATGTCAAAAAGTACAGAAACAAGGTAGGTAAGAAGACTCAAAACCATACAAAAAATCCCTACATAAGTAGTCAAATCTGTTTGTTTTTTAAATTTTCGCACAAAGCTACACGAGGGCTATCTGCGCTAGCCGTCCCTAATTTAGCAGTGTAAGACTAGAGGGAAG